TCTTTTGGTTGGGTAGGTAAATAAAGAAGTAGTAGAGTAAGGCGATTATTAGGGTGTAGAATATTAGGTCGTTCATAGTTTTAGTGGGATTTATTAGGCGAAATTAAGACTAAGTTTTGGTGAATATTTTTTTGGAAGGCGGGTCGCATGTGGTTTCACTTGACTAATTCAACGATAAAAGGTAGATTAGATTCTTCTAAATCTCATCTTATTTTTGTAACAATTGAACCCGGTATGTCTTCTCGATAACAAAGATCTAAATCGGAAAACTTTCGGGCTGTTCCTTTGACTCGGGAACCATAAGCATAAAAAGTATAGGGATACTTATCCAGAATTATTTGAAGGGCTTCAAAGTGTCTTTTTTCTATTTGCAACATTATTTTAATTTTTGCAGATTTTTGATTAAGGAATCAAGTTCTTTAATAAATTGAGGTAAAACCAAATATATTTCATCCAAAATATCTATATCATAAGCATGAACAGTAGTATTTCTTTTATCCATGAAGTCAAATCAAATTTCGGGATCTTTAATTAATCCTAATTCTGCCGACAAACGAAAAGTCTCGCGAGGAAAACGAGTTAACTGACCTTGATATTTCAAAACCTTTTGACAAGTATGTCAGGCTAATTCATAACTAACTTCAAACGCTTGCACAGCCGCCATTTCATCTATTTCATCTTTGGCTTGGGCTAAAATCTTTTGCAAAAGTTTTTTCATGTTCAGCAGTGATTGAATATCTAATTGACCATCCAGAATATACTTCGGCATAATAAACTATTTTAGTGCCAAAAATAAGCAATTAGGAGTAAAAAAAAGATACCTAAGGCAATCGCTACTAAAGCTCGTTGGGTTTTTTGCCCGTAAGCGATATTTTCTTTCAGTAAATTCTTAAACTCCGTGGTTTTGGTTTCCAAGTTCTCTTTTAAATTAGCTTCATAAAAGCCAGTTAACGCTCGTTGGAAGTCCGGTAATCAATCTTTCAAAGCCATAATTAGTTTGCTTCTTGGGTTTTAATATAGTGATAAACAAATATTCCCACGACCGCGGTGGCAATTAGCGTGTAAGTGATTAGTTGGGTAGTTTCGGAGTTATCGGGTTTAATGGCAGCTAAACTAGTGTTTAATTGCTGGACAGTATTAGTCAGGTTGCTCGTTAATTGGGGCTGATTCGGAGTTATCGGGTTTACCATGATTATTTAGTTGTTCCGTTTTGGCTTGTCGCTGGTGAAATTTAGTAACAGGGTCGGGGTCATTAGTTACTGGGTCAGAAATTTTGGTGGCTGCTTTCTCACCAGTTTTAAACCGTCAATAAATCTCTCCGTTTTTATCCGTGAGTGGATAAGAGATAAACTTTTGGATGCCAATTCTTAAATAGTAACTAGTTTGGTCAGCTTGGGCTTCTTGTCATAAGATTATTCGGGTCTTGTTCGGGTTGATAAAATGACACGAGCAGTGGCTTTGGTTAAGGATTGGTTCTAAATCGGCTAAGTTGAGAGCAAGTTGGTGGTTCATAAGGAGAGATTAATTGAGAGAGAGGAGCCGTTTACTCCTCGTCTTTTTTTAATAATTTGCTAGTTAGTTTTTGGACGATACCAGTTTTATCTACGAAGTAAGCTAAGCTTATTCCTAAGACTAAATAAGTTGGTCATCAGTCCACGTAAGATTTTCAAGTGTTAGTTTCATTCATAGTTTTTTATATTTCTGTCGTTAATTTAAAAATCTAATAAAGAAGTTATAAATAACTTTCAGTGTTAAGATTATTTAAACTTTCATCTCACTTTTTAGAAAAGTAAGCAAAACTTTTTATTTTAGTAATTGTTTACCAATGACATAAACACCACCGGCAATAGCTAACGAGACGGTAATTCCGGCAATCGCATAACCGAACGAGGTTTTGATGTCTTCCCGGTAGAGGATTTCCTCCCGACGGACGTTAAGCAGGTTAGCCCGGCTGGTGGCAAAAGGTTTTTTTTCTAAGTGGTCAATATTAGGCATAGTTTATTTTTTTTGATTTTTTAGTTCGGTCAAAATCTCAGTTAGTAGCTGAACAATTTTAACTTGATTGTGGTTAAATTCTTTAATTTGATTGGTTAAAGGGGTTAAGTCAGGGAAGATGGACATAAGTTTAATAGTTGTCAGTTTCTAATTTGGGTGGGTTATACTCAATTTCTTTCCGTTCTTTGGTATGGGTTAGTCGTAACGAGTGAAATTGTTGAGTGAGGGCAGTCAATTGTTGCACCGCGTTAGTCTCGAGAGCAATTAGTCGTTGGCTTAACGCTTGTTGATTATTAGCAATAGTTTGTAAATTAGTTTGAATTAATAATAAAGAACTTTGCATTTCCGCGATAGTGCCAGTCATCGCCGGAACTTTTTGCCCAGTAAATTGTTCAAAAGCAAACGGAGCTAACGGCAGTAATTGCCCGATAATGGTTAATAATCCAGACTGCTGTGGTTGATTAGTTGTGGTTTGATTAGCAAAACCGCCGTTAGCAGTTGAGTTAGTTTCTTTGGGGTTTGACTGAAAATTAGTGTCTATTTTTACCATAGTTAGTGAGCTAAATTAATTAAAGTGTTGAGACCAAACGCTAAGCCACTAATAGTTGGGAGATGTTTCAGATAACTATTATCTTTGGCGTAAGAGCCATAGAAGTAAAGACCAACACAGAGAGCCGCGATGGCTAAGAGGATTATTCTTTTATCGAACATTATTTAAGGCGATATTTTTTGCTTAGTTGGTCATGAAAAGCCTGTTTTACCAAGTTAAAACAGCGAAAACTTAATTTGTAATAAACATGCTGACCGTATTGTTTGCTTTTGACCATTTGTTCAGTTTTGGTAAATTTACCTAAATGACCAAATTTAATAGTTTCTTTATCTTTAGCTTTTAATAAAGAATTGAAGAGGTCATTAGTTACTATTTGGTAAGCTTGTTTTAATTGCGTGGGGGTATAATTCATAAACGGATTGGGAGTGGGATTTCTTTTTCTTTTTACGATAATCAATAATTAATATATTAGGACAGTCAGTCATCATTTCTCTATAAAAAAGTTTTGGCTGGATAATTTAAGTAGTTTATAGACTACTTAAAAAATAAGTATTTTTTAGAAGTAATTGGCGAAGTAAGAATAGAGAAAAAGAGTTAAAATGGAGTAAATGGCGTTTGGTTGGTTTAAAAAAGAAAGAGTTAGTTGAGAAAAAAGAGTTAAAAAATAGACCTGGGTGGGTTTTTTCGGTTATTTTTAATAACTAACCATATTCTTTTTTCTTCTACCTTTTTAAAAATAAAGAAGTTCGGGAATGCTCCCTAGTATAAGGACGGATTTCTCTTTTAATTTTGGTAATTTCGGCTTGGTCTTCTAAGCACTCCAGTTCGTAGTCTCGTTGTAAATCTAATCAAAGTTCGACCGAAGTACCAAAATAAATACTTAACCTTAAAGCAGTGTCAATAGTAATTGGCCTTCTTCCTTGACAGATTTCATTGATTCTACGAAAAGAAATTTTTAATTCCTGGGCTAATTGGCTCTGGCTAATACCGCACGGGATTAATAATTCTTCTTTGAGTATTTCGCCAGGGTGGATCGGAGCCATTTTTTTCTTTTTAGTCATAAGTTTAAATAGAGTGAGTTAATTAAAGTGATTTTTATATTCTTAACTATTTATTGTTTTTTATAGGGTTATTTTTTTCCAGCTCCAACGCTTCCTGATACTTGCCAATCTCTTTTTCAACCACTTTAACTTTGTCTTGCAAAGTTGAGATTTTGCTTTGTAATCTAGTTAAATAGCAGCTCCTTTTCTTTATGAGATAACTAAATACTCCTTGACGGGTGCGTAAGTCTATTTCTTTGAGTGAAGAGCAATTAGCACAACCTTGACAAGCATAGTTTTGGATTTTTATTTTTTCAATATCGGAGTAGAGCATAATTTTATAAAATTTGGTTAGCACATAAACCCTTTACGTTGTAAGTTAGTTAATAAAAAACGAGCATCTTTTTTTAAATAGCGTTCAGTGGTGCGAAATTGGGAATGACCCAGCAGTTGCTGAATACTAGCTGCATCTAATCCTAAGTCATAATGTAAGATAGAAGCAAAAGAGCGTCTGAGTGTGTGGGGAGTAATGGCTCAATTAAGCCCTAATTCGGGCGATTTCTTTTTTAAATAGCTTCACACAGCGACTCGGCTAATGGTTTTCCAAGTATCGTTAGCGGGGTTGGATTTAGCCTTTTTAGAAATATAAGAGTTATTCAGTAAGTTGAAGACTAAGCGTTGTTTCTGACCTTTGCCTAAGACCAGCAAAGAAGTTTTATCTTCCACGGGAATTTGTTGTCAGGTGAAATTTATCGCTTCACTAACTCGCAAACCTAAGTAAGCCATTAGGAGAATAGTTTCCAGCAGTTTATCGTGTCGGTGGGGTAGGTGAAAACTAGTGGGAGGTAAACAGAGAGCTTGAATTTGGGTAAAATTAAGAACTTGTTCGGTTTGTTTTTTAGTCATAAGGTAAAAACGTTAAGTTAAAGGTTAGCAATTTTGTTAAGTTAGAGTAGGATTGGACTAGTTTTTAGTGCTCTAACTTAACCGAAGTGGTTATTTGGTTAAGTGCTTAGTTCAATTTGTTGCACTTTAAAAAATGTTCCTTGCTGGCCTTGATTGGGAAGTTCTTGGTAAGTGAGGAGAACTAAGCGGTTGACTAAATGGTGGGGGGTGGTTAGTAATTGTTGAGTTGCCGCGGGTAAATTATAACTAAAAGCGTAAAAGTAGCGATTAGGCAAGCCAGCTAAACTGATTCGGTAGTAAGGTTGAGCGTTTTTATCAGTTTTACTTTCAATGTCTGAAATAGTAGCTTTAATTTGTAGTTGGGTCATGTTAGAGAGCAATATCGATTTGGGGTTGGGGCTGTTGGCATTTTTGGCAGGGTCTGCCCGTGATTACTCGTTCTTTTCACTGGAAGAGAATGATTTCTTTGAACGGTTTAAGTTGTTTACACTTAGGGCATTTAACTTGAATTAGTCAGAAGCTGGTGGCAGCTAAGAGTAAGCCGAGGATGATTCCAATAAGGAAGATTAGTAAGTTGAACATAGTTTTGGTTGCTTGTGATGAGGCATGGACACCTCACCATTTTTATTTTTTTACTCCCTGTTCCCAACCTAAGTAGGCGGGAGCACCAAGCCAGTGGAGCAGGGATGGAAGAACCTAACTTTCGAGTTAGTCTGACTTGGCTCAGTTGTTTCCAGCAGGTATTCCATTTACTGCTAGAAGCCTTTGGCGTTGCCGGTGGCTTGCCCGTAGTTTTTTAGGAAAAAACTGCTAGTTAGTGTCTCTAACTTACGTAGGTGTTCTTCGTCAGTTATCCGAGTTAGGGTAGTAATAGTTCATAGCTCAGTTATTTAAGTATTGGTTGCGGGCTTGGGCTGGGGTTCAAAAGGTTTCCGCTTGCGGAGTGGGATAAAAATAGAAATCTTTGGCTTCTTCTGATTTAAAGATAACACTACTAACCATCTTTGAATTAGAAATTGTCATCGGCAGGATTAAGTCTCTTTGGCT